TTAACTCAGGGGTTCTTTATTACTAATATGGCTAATACCTCCGAAGTACACAAAGCAATTTCAGATTCATCTCATTTACCTTCACTGCATCTTTGTGTAGAGGTCTAACCAAGGTTATCCCCAATTTACTGATGGAGAAGCTGCCTGTTCGTTCAAGATGCACCTTCCTAAAGAGCCTTGGTTTGATGACTCCTAAATAAATTAGTAGTTCAATTTTTCTAGAGAAGGAAACAAAAGAAAGAGGAAAAATAAGCAAGCACTTACAATCTATCTAAAGTAGTTTGATGAAGTTTTATTGTTTTGTAAACATTGCTGTGTTTATATTTGTTCTATATTAAATGCTTTTAGATAATTATAGCCTCTACTGCTACTAACTTACAGGTAATCTTGGACAAGTCACAATTTTTTGGACTTCTTACCCACTTTGTGCCTCAGTTTCCCGAATGATAAGTGAGAGGCCTGATGACATTTTAGGCTCAAAGTTTCCTTGATTCTAAAATACTAGACTTCCCTTTGGAGGCTAAAACTTTAGGGGACTAGTTAACAAACAGGAGCTAATATTGTTATCATTATTAATTTTCATCATTACCTAAGTCCCTGACTAGAATTATTTAACAATCTACTCAAAATTATTCATGTTAACCAGGTGCAACTTTTAAAACTGTCTCTTTATTCATGATTCAGTGTGGCCAATTCAAAATTCAACAGTAGCTGTGTTTTAAAGACCTAAGAGAATGTACACTTCCCCTTACCAAAAGTCTGGTTTAATAAGTTACATTATAATTTAATATGAGGAGCTAAAAAAATGCAGTAATATTCAGAGCAAATTAGGAATCTGATGTAGTTACAACAATGGCATAGTTATATTCATACTAAAAGCTACAAACGTGAGTACTGTGTTTATACATGGGAAATATGGAAAATTTATAAAGTAAGACTCAAAGTAGTATGTTCACTTACTTATGTAATCAATAGTGATTATAATTTTGTTTAAAATGTGTGTGTCCATTGACCAAATTGGAATTAATTGGGGGAGGTTTAGAGAGGGTTTGCTGGAAAATAAAAGTAGCCCAGCATCCATTTTAGTTGCATTCTTAATATTTTTTAAACCATAATAATATTCTTATCTCCCCCCACCCTCCCAATAAAAGCTGGTATAAATATGCAGTCAGTGGTGAAACTCTTTCTGTATTAATCTTAAATAATACATGCTGACCTGTGTCACCATACCTACTGGCCTGGCTGTTCCATTTTTGTAGCAAAAATCATTTTTGTGATTAATTAAATCAGTAACTTTTACGCAGATTCTCAGGCCCTTGGATCTTATTCGCATTCTAATTAGGCTGAGCCTGAAGTTACAGCCGCCCACTGGGAAGTAGGGTACTACTTATATCTCTGAAGATGGAGTTCGTGAGTTGCTCAGATGAACAACTCAATGAGCCGTGGCCCCGATCCCAGCAGATTTGCAAGTGACTATAAGTGCTGTTCCAATAGGAAGTACTATAGAAATGTGACATTAATAATCACCAGTTTGAATCTGGGTCGCTTCAGCCATGACTCAGAGATCAAACGCTATCAGATGGTAATGAGTGTGTGAAAGTGCTGCAAGAAGGCATTCCATCTCTTAATGACACCTTTGTAGGCCTTCTCAGCAGAAGGTTAGAGGGAGGAATAGAAATAAAGTCGCATCTGCTCCTTGGTCTGGAGGCCAGCCCTCCAGGTTACAGTTGGCATACTTTTGCAGAGATGTTTTAGGGACAGCTCACAGTAGTTTCTGTTGTTCTAGCTCCTTAAATGTGTATACAGAACCTTTCATCTTCTGCCTCATTTCCTGACCGTTTATTCACTTCAAAGTGATGGTAACTATTTTGCATATTCTCTACCGCCTTTTCTCTCCTCTGAAAGGTAAGAAGAAATTGCACTTACAAACACATGTTAACCATTTAATGTTAAACTTCCCATTTTTATTTCAGGTTGGGGGCACCATTTTCACTTCAGCACACCCTCATTGAGTCCTATGGTTTGCCAGGCACTGTGCTAGGCTCTGGGAATACAAACATCAAATAAGAATGGTTCCTGTCTTTAAAAAGCTCACCATTTTGTAGGGAAGGAAGGCATTTAAGCACTTGTGAAATACTGTGGTAGAGGCAGGAATAGAAATGTACTAGATATAGTAGTGGCACAAAGCCAAAAGTGGAAGTCATTTGTTCTGTGTGAAATGTTAAGGAAGGCTCCAGAGAGGAGGATATGGTTGAGATGGGTCTTGACGACTGAATAGGAGTTGACCAAGCCATTAGAATTGGACAATGACTCAGGTTGGGGAGAAGGCAAAGTGTGTGCAAAGGCAGGAAACATGAGACAAGCATGATGCTCAGTGAATTGCAGATCTTTCTATCTGGCTCTAAGACTAATTATGCTCTTAGTCATGGACTTATTGTCACCTTTATAAAACTTCAGTTTCAATCAGAAGTAAGAGATGAGTTTTGACAACTTTAATTGTGACCCTGTCTTTCTTCTCTGTAATTGACTTTAAGCTTCTGAATAAGGGCTCTCTCTTCTCCTTAAATGTTGCATTAACCTGGCCAACCCACCAGGTATTTATTTACCCTTGTGTCTTTTCATTGTTATGTTGGTACAATCTAAATTTATTTACTCTTCAGTTTCACTGCCAGGTTTCAATTTCAGACTCAAGTGTTTAGACAACATTATATAATGTGTTACACTTTTATGACATCTGCTTTAGTACTGTAAGTGCTTTCCATGAAAGCTAATGGTTGGGACAAAAAAGAGCCTAAATGTCACCAAGTGGCCACCAGATGTGTTTTATTGTGTTCGTATCTCTGTTTTGTTTTCATAAAAACTTTTTCTTAGTCTAAAAAACCTTAGCAAGCAGAAACAGCAGACAGTAGACTTGTAGGAGATGAACTATTTTCTTCATTTCCTGATTGTTATTTCTTGATCTCCTGTTTCAAAAACTATGATTCAGCTGAAAAAAATCCATAACAGTATAATTTAGAATACCGTACTTTTTAAAAGCAAATTACGTTACGTTTGTTTTTCAAAGGTAAGTTCACTTCTTAGGCTGGAAGGCCTGCTGTGTTTCAATATGTGGTTCTTCAGTGTAGTGAGATTAAAATTGTGATTTAACATCTTCCAGAATTTCTGCCATCTGATTGTTCACTGAGCAATCAGTATGTTTTCAGGCAGTCTGGCGTGTGATAAATATTTTGTAGCATATGTGGGTGAACATGCCAATCGCAAAGGGCTTTACAAGCTTTAATTAATTTTCACAACAACCAGATGCACTCTGCTTTATTCATGAGAAGTCCGCAGACAGTGGAGTTCAGAGTGTTGCCCAGATTCGTCTAGCAAAGTGGTTTACAAACTTTTTTTGGATAGCTGAACACTTTTCTCAAACACAAGATAATCTGGAACTCCAGCACGTCAAGTAGAAACTGCTTTTGTTGGGAGGGAGAAAGGGAGTTAGTGATAGGGCTGCCAGGTTTGTCAAGATAAGAAAACCACACAAGATGCCCAGTTGATTTGAATTTCAGGTAAACAATTAAGAATATTTAGTATAAGTGTGTCTCAAATATTGCATGTCCCTAAAAAAATGATTGATGGTTTGTCTGAAATTCAGACTTAACCGTACACCCTGTATGTTACCTGGCAACTCAAAGTTCCCGTTTATAGCCCCGCCCTTTCAGTGCCCTTGTCTCCTCCTCAGCCAGGTGAGGGTCTTGGTTCCTAGCACACAGTTTGAAAGCCACAGATAGAAGAAATGTATACAAAAATTTATTCTTAGGATAAAATACTTCAGTCTAGGGCTTCCCTGGTGGCGCAGTGGTTGAGAGTCCGCCTGCCGATGCAGGGGACACGGGTTCGTGCCCCGGTCCGGGAAGATCCCACATGCCACGGAGCGGCTAGGCCCATGAGCCATGGCCACTGAGCCTGCGCGTCTGGAGCCTGTGCTCCGCAACGGGAGAGGCCACGACAGTGAGAGGCCCGCGTACCGCAAAAAAAAAAAAAAAAAAATACTTCAGTCTCCCGATCTTTGGGAACAATGTTTGTCAAGTCACCTATTCGTATAAGTCAGCAATTTAAGAGGAAGGAGAACTGATGGTAAATCCGGATTGCAGGTTGGCCAAATAGAGTCCATCCATAAAGAGAAAAATGGATGGGAGCTTGTGAGCCTGATTCTAATGCAACCCAAGGGAGAGGTGCCTGCATGGGCCCATCCTTGGCTTTTGGTCTAGTTGACATGCACATGTTTTAGTGGTCCTGGCTTGAAGAGAATGCCTGTTAAGGTAATTCGGTTATTTTGCTCCAGAATTTTAAAGTAGCCCTCATTATTATTTTCATTTCTCAAGCTGACTCCTTTGTGGAATATTCTTATTTATTTGGCCATTACATTTCTCAGTGTAACTGAGTACAGTCTAATTAGCGATCAGAAGCCACTAAATTTCTTTAGGAAAAAACAGTCCTGCAGTGCTCGAGGAACTCCCTGGATTAACTGATGAAAAGTCTTTTAAAAACATACAAGAAACTGAGGACCTTCTCCTGGACCTATGGGTCCCCAGGTGCTTTGGGTTTGATGCCCTGTGTGGATGGCCTACTGACTCTCCATGAAGTTTTTGTATCAGCAGAATGTTAGTAATGGTTTATTTCTTGGTGGGTAGATTAGGAATGGATATGACTTTGTGTCCCTTTTTCATTTTTTCCATAGTTTATGCTGTAGGTGTGTTACTTTTTAAATAAGGAAATTAAGTATTAGTGATATATTTTAAATGTTTCTTGGCAGGGGAAAAACCCATAAATATTTCCTTGTTTAAATGTTCTAAAGTATAGATGAAGATAATCTGGAATATAGATAGTTTTCATTTGCAAATGCTTATATATCTTTGAAGGTTAATTGTAATATGAAATCTACCCGAATTGTTCACACTTAAAATTTATCTCTCATTCATTCATTTTATTCATTCAACAAATATTTATTGAAGAAACATAGACATATTCCTGTACAACACAAGAAAGGGGGTGATGAGTAGAAGCAAAAGGAAAGGAAGATCCAAAGATGTGACCCACCCGCTCCATCCTTCAGGACGCCACGATGTGGTGGGCTGGGCTGGGGAATGCACTCACGCAAGAGGAAGGATGCTTGGCCTGCATTAGTAAATGAGCCCTCTGATGCTCAATGAATGAAAGTGACTTTCACGAGGCTGTTGGCACATCAGGACCTGAAGACCCAGGTCACCCGAGTCCTGCTGGGGGATCATCATCTTGTACCATAAAAACAAGTGCAAGCTTCCATCCCAGGAGCTGGATTTGAAAAGCCACAGAATCCCTGCTTGTTTCCAAACCAAAGGCTTGGGAGCCGGGAGTTCGTCTGCTTCTCACCACTGGCTTTAACTACAGACTGGGTTTGTGCTAGTTGGTTTTACCCTCCCCTAGGCTGGTTTCAGGGATTTTGGTTTTGATCAACATATAATATAAGCTACAGGGATATTTTCTTTTTCCTATTAGCTTCTTTTTGAATTCTCTTGGAGGAGGAAATAACTTCTTCACAAAATCCCTTTTACTGGTCTTTTTTGTTGACTCTGAAACTCATACCAAGTCTATAATATGGAGAAACCCAAAATATTTGTTTTTTTTCTTTTCTAATATTAACATGTGCAAAAATGACTTATCCATGACATTTATACTTACTTTCACAGTTCAAATAGGCTACATTTTTCAGTGGCTAGATGAAGGTAGAATTTGACAGGTGATTTGAGGGGATTTGCACGATAAAGCCTAGGAAATTAAAGGTTTTATATTTGCTCAGACAACTTCTGGGGTTAAGGTTACATTCGCACAAACTATTGCGTATTAAATTAAACTGGTTATTGTTGACCTTAACACATAAATGCTTGTGAAAATAATTTCCCAAATATACAAAATAGTTGCTTCAAAGTAAAGTTAAATATTTTCTTATTTTGACTATATATTTTAAAGTTTATATAATAATTTTCAAGAACTCACTGAATTTGGAATTTTTAACTTGTGATATTAAACTGAAATAAATATGAAAGGACTTTCTTCAAGATTTATTTTACTTATGAGTAAACTAGGTATTTTCTAGAAAGAGAAATATGGGTGCCATTCAGAGTTGCCTCATCATAATTCTGTGAGCTGTTGAAATCAAATCAATGTCTTGATAAGTTGAGCTTCCAGATGGAATTTTATCTAAAATCAGTACACTTCGTTTATACTTTAGGACTCCAGTGAATTTTATGACAAAAATCACTTCATACCCCATTTGGAAGGCAGCCACTTAAGCGTGGAATATGACAATTGTTTAACAGTGCACAGTAAAACTTAAATAATCTATGACTCATGGAAGGGAACTATATTCAATTGAAACTTCCAGTGTAATTCAGGTAGGTGGACATAACCACACAGGTGTCTTGGAACTATTCCAGTTCCAATTGGCTAATGAGCTCATAAGGCCGAAGTCTCCTTTGCTGTGTGTCCCTTACTGGTTTACTTGTCCATTAGCACAATTCCACCTAACATCATGCTGGGACATTGATTTCACATTGATTCACAAAGGAATGCCTTGGGTCACACAGTGACTATCTAGTCTGTAGCAGGTGTCTCTGCAGGACTCTGATTTCAGAATCTGTGCTCTTCAGCCGCTGACATAATCTTTAGCTGTACCGGCTAGAGCAGAGTTTCCAGTGCCACACTGCTCATCTTAAACATGAACTTTGGTGGGGTTACATGTTTCCATCATCAATCCATCTGTTATAGGGATTACATCACCACAAAGGAGTTAATTTGTCTTGTTTTGAGGGTCATGTCTAATTGCATAGGTCAACAAAGGATAATAAATGACTGCTTTTTACTTTACTTCAAGTCTGTGCCTCACTTTTTCTCTAAGACTGCTGAGCAGGACAATTAATTTCCTTAATCGGCACAGCTGGTACCGTAAGAATGCCATCCAAGCTGAAAAAGGTTACTGCTATCTATCTAAAACCTGAGTTAACCAATCCAGAAAGTTAACTACAGACTCTCCTTAAACTTGCTCACAGAAAGCCTCTGCATCCAATAGGGAGAAAGGAGGCACTAGATGGCAGTCTTAAACAAATTTGAAATGACCTTTCCTTTCGTAAAACAAATGCATTACCTAAAAGCAGTCACTTCTGTTCCAAATGAATGTGGACTTGAACTATACTTTATAAAAATTGCAAATATAAGGGCATTATGAAGCTTAATATCACAATATAAAATTTTGCTTCTGATATGGAAAAGTATTCCATATGCAAATCTTCCTCAGCCCACAGGTTAGGTGTCCCGATAAACCCATTGTAAATTGAAAATACCGTAAGTCGAAAATGCATTCAGCACACCTACCCTATGTATAACTAAATCACTGTGCTGTACACCTGAAACTAACAGGACATTGTAAAGCAACTATACTTCAATTGAAAAATTAAAATAGGGACTTCCCTGGCCGTCCAGTGGTTAGGACTATGTGCTCCCACTGCAGGGGGCATGGGTTCAATTCATGATCGGGAACTTGGATCCTGCCTGCTGCTCGGCCAAAAAAAATAAAATTAAAATTAAATAGTAGTAAAAAAAATAATAAAATAAAATAGTAGTAATAATCTTTTTGCCCCTCATATACAGAAATTGGAATAGTAAGGAGTTCAGCTAACCCTTTGCCAAAGATGGCATGCAAATTCATCCAATTCATTCATCCTCGGACCTCTGTTACAGTGCTGAACACATATTGTAATTCATCTCTTTATATTTTATCTCCTGCACCCTGAAGTTTGAGGCCCTTAAGGAAAACAGTGTTACTTGTGTTTCTGTTTTTAGAATAAGTGTAAAGTAGGGGCTCAAAATTTTTTTCCTTGATGAGTAAATAAATGTTTCTCAAGTGAAAAACCAAGTTTGGGACACCAGATCCTGATGACTGTATCAGCCCCTGTGAGATTACTGTCCACTTCTGTACCTCTGGTTCCTGGCTGAAAATAGTACCAAACGTTTGATGAGTGTAGGGGGGTGTGGAGACTTTCTTAGGTTCAGACTTTCAATGCTTCAGCATTGAAAATGCTTTTACACACATTCTCATTGAGTCCTGGTAACAAACTGTGGGTCAGTTGTCTCATTTGATACATGAAGAATCAGGTTCCCCATGGTTGAGAGAATCACTGTGGGTTACACAGTTACTAAATGTTAGCACCAGACTGGAATCCAGACTTCTTACACGAGTCCAGTACGTTCTCGCCCCAGTTTGCTTGAGATCAACACGTAGGGTACCTACGCTGAGACACCACTGTCACCTCCCCGGCCAGCCACTCTGCTTGCCACTGTCCATCCTCAAACCTTTCCCACCATCTATATATGTCCTATATCTATACAGTAACTTCATAAACCACCTAGTTGTCCAAGTTAGAAACCTGAATGTTATCCTCCACTCCTCTTTTTCACATTCCTTCAACCACAAATCCCATCTAATTTACCTCCTGGACATTTCTGGGACCAGCTATCCTGTTCTCTCCAAGATTCAGTTCTTCATCTTCGTTCACTAAACCACCATCCAGACTGCTGGACTCTAGTCGTGCTGCCTTCACAGTGCAGAGTGATCTAAAATGAAAATTTGACTGTGCCACTTCTTCGTTCAAATTGTGCTTCTCCTATGAGCCCTCCATGGCCTGGTTCTTGAGCCCACCCCGTCAAGCATCTCACTCGAGTCTCTTCTTTGCCTTTAACCATCTAGCAACACAGGCCAGACAGAGTGCCCCCATATTTTACTTAGATTGTCTCTTTCCAGGTCAGAACCACATTTTCCCTCCCCCCCCCCTCCCCCCACCCCCAGATTCTCATTCTGGCCCACTGTAGGTGAGTATAAAAGCCACAGAATCAGGCGTTAAAGCCAGAGACCTGGAGGAAAGCTCCTCAGAGGGTAGTTGTAGTTCTTCCATCAGTTCCTTTAGCCCAGTCCGTCTCCAGCAACCTCCCCTCACCAGCCTCTGGGATCATGAGGTCAGTGCTGATTTAAAAAGAAAAAAGGAAGCTAGGGGAACTGGCTGTGGGTGAAAAGCAATTAGCAAAAAAAAAAAAGCAGATGCAAGCAAATAAACAGAACAAATGGATAAAACTGCAGGATTGGGGAATTCCCTGGTGGTCCAGTGGTTAGGACTCGGTGTTCTCACTGCTGGGGCCGGGGTTCAATACCTGCTCTGGGAATTAAGATCCCGTAAGACAAGAGGCAAAAAAAAAAAAAAAAAAAAATTGCAGGATTAGCCAGGCTTTACCAGTAAGGAAGATGTGCTGCTTTGGTCCTTTGGTCGTTGGGGAGAGTGAACCCATAAAAAGGGCTCCCTTTTTGTTTACCTCTTCTCTTTCCCTGTGTCCCTTAAGGATCCCATCCTATATTCCATGTTGCTTTCTTTTTTTTTTTTTTTTTTGCGGTGCGCGGGCCTCTCACTGCTGTGGCCTCTCCCGCTGCGGAGCACAGGCTCCGGACGCGCAGGCTCAGCGGCCATGGCCCACAGGCCCAGCCGCTCCACGGCACATGGGATCTTCCCGGACCGGGGCATGAACCCGTGTCCCCTGCGTCGGCAGGCGGACTCTCAACCACTGCGCCACCAGGGAAGCCCCCATGTTGCTTTCTTTAATGCCAGTTCCTCAGGGTCTTTATGGCCTCTGATAAAGCACCACTTTGGGAATGGGGCATGGGGGGAGGTTGAGGTGGGACAGTTGCTTCCCACACCCCTGCTCTACTCCCCCTGTCTCCAAAACACACCCCTCCTAGATGGAGGTACTTCCCAGACTCTCTGGGCTCTTAAGGTGACCCAACCCACCGGTTTTCTTCCCCACACTGCTCTCCCCTATCTCCAACTTGCTTGGCTGATGAGAATCTGGAAGAACCCCCTGTTTTAAAACTTTCAGCACTGACGGCCTCTCCCTTTAGGCGTCACCCACAGCAGTCCTGCTGTGCTGCTTGAATGTTCCTCAGCACAGAGAGAGCTGCTGTCCCCAGAAGGCTGGGGATATCCAGCGGCAACTCAGATGTCCCTGAATCTGGGAACCCTCATTGAGATATTAATATTTGTATTTGACCTTGACCGTACTGACTCAGATATTTATGAACGATATTTTCAAACATGTGGTATCAATGTCAACTCCTTTTGAGATTCTTTGTTTACTTTCAGTTTGCTAGTGCTAGTGTCTTGCCCCAGATAAAATGTATTTGTATTTATTTAATGCAAATTAAATGCAAGCTAATCCTTTTTGCAATAATTGAATTATTGTTCTTTATTACCAGTGTCACTAAGCTCTACATCTGGATACATTACAGTAAATGTATCCTTTTGCTTTTGTTTACATTCCACTTGGACTTTGGAATCCAAATGATTCTGAAACTGACAAAAATTAAATTAAATCCTTTTACAACTAACCCTTCTGAGGATACTTCTTTGAATTCTTCAGTGAAGTTTGGGAAATGTTATTCCTACATTTTAAAATATGACCTCCAGAAGGATTGCAATAGAATTTTGGAAAGGGACATTTTTCATAGTGGGAGAAGGGGGGGTGGTGAGTCCAATTTTTTTAATGTTATTTCACTTTAGAATTGTGCTATATTTAGGATGACTATACATCCTGGTTTATGTCTATTGTCCCAACATAGTTATTAGTTGCACTCAAAAAATGTCCTGGTTTGCATTGATAAATTATATGATCTCCCAACTGTATTCTATTTAATTATGAAACAACTGATCAGGATTTTTGTTTGTCTGTAATTAAGTCTTGCAAAGAAATGCAAAAAAAAAATATATATATATATATATATATATATATATATATAAATGGCTTTTTAAAAACCCAATATGTAAGTGTAGTTTGAGAAAGCCGCAGTCAGTATTCTTACTCACCCTGCTTGAACTTGGCTCACCACAGGCAAGTTTCTGTTTGTGGCAGTAACTTAGCTCTTTATCTTCCAGAGCTGTGAAATTGTCCTGATCACAATTTTAAAATTTTAATTAAATCTGCTAAAATTTGAATGCAAGCTATGTCTTTGTTGGTGATCCAGTGTTTCTGGCCAGTGATCTCCATCATCTGTCTTAGCAGCAAAGTTTCTTCCACTGTTACATCATTTATTTTTTTCTCTTTTCCATCTGTGATTTAGGGTACTGAAGCCACTCTTCATATAAGGAGAAGAGTTCGCGTCTTCACCACAGTATGAAGTTGATATTTAAATTTTATCTGCATGTCTTTGCCTTGCTTTGATTCTTTCTCATCTTGGCTTTTCTTACATATATTCATTCATTTATTCATTTCTCATTTCTTTCATTGCTAGTTCTAATTTTTTTCATTTTTTAAATTTATTTTTAAGATATCTTCCAGAGGTGCTTTATTTCAGAATTCACTTCAGCTGATTTCAGGAACATTTCAAGTCCATTAGCAACTTTTCTTAATTTCCTTTAGCTCTGTTATGTGTATAATATACTTTGAGTCTGTTATCAACATCTTTTACATCTTCAAAATGGGTTTCACTCCTTTAGACAATCTCTAGTGAGGTTTCCCTCCCCCTCCTAATCTTTCCCTTTGTATTCTTACCATGTTAGCACATATATTTTAATTTTCTAATACAATAAATGAGATAAGATATCTTTGCCTTTTGATTGATTTGAAAATGGGGGGGTGAGACATTACATTTTCACCTGTTTGTCTGGGAGCAACCGTAAGGTGACTTCAATGACTGACAAATTTCCCACAGTGATTTTGAATTAGCAATGTATCTTGGCCATTCTTAGAGATGACTTTTCATAGTTACTGTACATAAGCGTTGAGTCATTTTCATTAAAAACGGACATCTAAAATGGAAAATAAGACAAATT